TATAAAAAATAATATTACAATATTATTACAATTAATTATTTATTAGTTATAAATATTAAATAATAATAAATATTGAAAAGTAAATTGAATATTAATATATAATAAGTTTATTTGATTAAATAACAAATAAGTGTTATCAATACTTTATATTATACAAATTTTTTTAGAAAATTAAATTATCTTTTTTTTATAATAAAATAAATTTTAATAGTTAAAAATTATAATTGTATTTATAAATTTAATATTATAAAAAAGATAAAATTAAAAAATAAATAAATATTAATCAAATATTTAATTTTGATTTATTAAAATATTTATATAATATAAAGCATGGATACTTTTTTTATTATATTAATTAAAATAAATAATATATCTTATACTCTACTAAATTCTAACTTTAAAATTAACTTTTGCTTATTCTTCTATATTATGTAATTATAAGTAATTTAAAAAACTAATTATTAAATATTAAAATAACATTTAGACTGTATTTATTACAATTTTAAAAAGTAATTAGTTAATTTTCTTTTAAAGTATAAAGATTTAAGCTAATAATGCTAGGTAAAACTAAAATATTTAGTCATATGATGAAACTGAAACTATTTAGTCTTTAATAATTAAAATGTCAAAATAGCAAAACTTTATTTCTATAGATTTGTTTATGGATTTTTTTATGGATTTTAACTCACAATTTTTAATAATATTTTATTTTACTATAAATTCTAAAAATTTAGAATTTTTGTAAATAAAAGACTATTTATTATATTTTGTTTACTATATGAGAAGTTTACTAAGAAAATTGGATTCTATTTAACAAAATTTTAATTTTTATTGCATTTTAGTTTTTGATGTTATTAGATTAAATATAATAAGGTCTTAATTTTAGTAGCAAACTTCCCATATAAATAATTATTATTTATGATGTTAATTAGCAATATTTTTTTGATTATATATTTAATTAATAATAAATAATAAAAGATTAATAATATATTCTTTAATAAAGATAAATAAATAAAAATTTATAATTTATATATTATAAAGCAATTTAGTTATTTAGTTCATTTGCTAAAAGTTTAGTAAAAGGTTTAGACTTTAATCAAAGGTTTAGTCAAACACAAAATTTGACGAAAGTTTAGTCATGATAATATGTAAAGTCTAAATAAATACCAATAAATAAATATTAGCTAGATTATAGATTGTATTAATATAAATATTATTATAAAATATTTTATATAAAAGTATTTAAAGTATTTAGAAAACAATGATTGGTAAAATTAAATTGTAAGGATAACAAATTAAGCAGAAATTAAGCTAACGTCAGCCTACTAATAAAAAGGCAATTCGCATCACCCTAATGCTAACTTACACTTATCGTTTAAATATCGCGTTGGTTCAAACTATACTTCGACCATTAGTTAGAAACATGACACGAAAACATCAAAGTACTGAAATAAGCGAAAAGATTTTGGGACAAGAAGAAGAGGGAAGTAATAGTCATGGTGATAGTTCTTCAGAAAGTAGTACGCGTCCAACCAAGAAAGCCAAGAAAGAAGAGCAAACTCCAATACCTACTAACACTAAAATGCCGGAAAGTTTTTCTTTTGAAAAACGTGAGGGAACTATAAAATTTGCTTCTTGGAACGTTAGCGGGTTAAAATCTGCTTTGAAAAAGGTTTAAACGCGTTTATACTTTTATTATTTTGAAAATCCTATTTACCGATTTATTAGCATATATTAAAATTATTATAATATAATAGGGTTTTAAAACTTATGTTGAAGCAGAAGACGCTGATATTTTGTGTCTTCAAGAGACGAAAGTCAATACAGAACTTGAAGGAGTTGTTGATCATCAGAAATATAAATATCGTTGGTGGGGTTTTGAAGAGAAAAAAGGATACGGTATGTTAGGAATGATACACAAATAAATTCATTTCAAAATTTTTTAACGTGACATTTCATTTTTTTTAGCTGGAACAGTTGTTTTTTCGAAGATCAACCCAATTTCTGTTTCATTTGGTCTTTCTACGCATCCCGATCCCAAAGTTACTGAGGGACGAGTTATTACGTTAGAATTTGAGACATTATATTATGTAGCATGTTATGTTCCTAATGCGGGAGAGAAACTCGTAAGGTTGAAAGAAAAAATCATTTGGGATGAAGCTATGGAAAAATATTTGAAACAACTTGATGAAAAAAAACCAGTTATTTGGGCTGGGTAGTTATTTAAATAAGTTTATATATCATACTTGACTTTTAATAATCAATAATAAATTTTAAATTTTGTAGAGACTTGAATGTCGCACATAAACCAATCGACTTAGCGAGACCTGAAACTAATAAGAAGTAAAATAAAAAATAAACAAATTTTATGGCTTCGTGTAAATTTAAAACTTTATATGATTAACTTATTGTCATTTATTACCATTATAGGACTCCAGGTTTTACACCAGAAGAACGGAGGGATTTCGACAGAATCTTGAATGAAGGAAAGAACAAATTTGTAGATACTTGGAGACATTTCCATCCAAATACTTTAAGGCACTATACTTATTTCTCTTATCGTTTCCAGTGTCGTTCTAAAATTATTGGTTGGCGTTTAGATTATCATGTTGTTAGCGAAAGGATCTTGAACAGAGTCGTTGAAAGTGAAATTCGGTTACATGCGTACGGAGCAAGTGATCATGTGCCAATTGTTTTGGTTATTAAAGATGACTTGTAAAATTATCATTTATGTACATAATTTGTTCTGCTGTAAATTACTATCTTTTTTGGGTTCATATTTTTTTTTTTTACTAATAATTTCGTTAAATATGTATAGATACTTTTGTGAAAATAATATTTTTTTTTTCTTTGGAAATAAACATTAAAAATAATTTCTTCATTTTTTTGAAACGTTAAATTATATTTTAAAATAATAAGTCAAAATACATTAGTCACTCGATCAATAAATAAAACTATTTTTTAATATTTTTCAAATTCATCTTCAACGCCATTCATGGCTCGAAATAAAAATGTCGTCACGTTGGTAGTAAAATGAATGTAGAATCCATGATATAATCCTCGAATTCCATAACTATCTAATAAACCACGCTGTCCACGTCGTTTCTGTGAGCTTCCACGCATGGGTACATATCTTTGACTAACACCTTCCTCAATAATTATTCTATAAATCGCGTCTAACATGCCAATATATGGAGCTTTACGCGTCTGAACAATAGTTTCAAATGATTTTCCGGGAGTACGAGATCGAATTTGACATTGTAATCTCTTACGAATAGTCTGAAGGGGTAAAGTTATAAGCAACTGAAGTGTATCGAGTCCAAGTTGTGCAAGTCCATATAAAAAGGGAGAATCAGATGGAGAAATATGAAATACACGGTCTATAATCAATGGCACCGTACATTCCAATAATGGACAGATGGTATGATAGATTATGGATGGTAAAAGGTTATGCGACCAATACAAAGAAGATAATCCTTCTTCTTTAATCATTTTGCGTAAACAATCAAGTGTCCCACTATATTTTTTATGAATTGGCGAGGATGTTTGAACAATGAGCCTAACAAAAATACATAAAACAAGTTTAATACTCTAAACGTTACTTAAAAGGAAGGTAAAACTTTAAACTTACCTCGTTTGCACAACTTCTAAAGGACTTAAAAGTACTCCAACCACGAGATGACTGGTTACTAATGTGGCAATGTTGGGTCCGACATGATCCAAATAGATCAATGGAATCGTATCATCATACAGATCGAAAGCATCGTTCAACGCACTTTCCAATGTAGGTTGGAGGAAAAGATGACCCATATCGTAAAGCCAGCTCACAAATTGGCCTTTGGATTAAAAATTCACAGCAAATTATAAGCTGAATTCTTGAAAACAAATTTAAAGTGAAATTAAAAGTGTGAATCATGAAATTTACCTTTCCAAAGTGAACCAAATCCCTCAGTATTATGATTTTTCAATGTCCCTAAAGTTGACCATACACCATTTTTCAATGGAGGCAGCATATACTTTGGTCGCGTTGATTCATCATAAACATTGGTAGTTAGATAACCTTGACTATCTGATGATTTAGTTTTACGAAATCCAGGAGAACTTGGATCAAGAGATTGTGACGATCTAGCACTGAATTCATCGTCCTCGTCCTCATCAACCTATATTGTAAATAATTGTTATTAAATTGATGCATAAACGAGGTTCGAAAGACAATTGGATTACAATTACATCTTCCTCTGAACCATTAGTACCAAGTGAGACCTCTGGTATGTCTATAACATCTTCGTTCGGCAAATATTGAATTTGTAATAAAGTCTTTGCAACCTCAAATGGATGTGAAATAGCTACACTAAGATATTTCACGAAACCAAAGCTTGCCATTTCCTTTAATGTACTCTGAGAATCCATATCTGTCATGTCGTCATTGCGATCTTCTTTTGAATTAGTAGCATTACCAAAAGGTGTATAATAATGATCGGTATCTTGAGGCACATGATAAGGTCGAAGAGGATGAACGGTGGTCGTTTGTGGAAACGGGGTGTAAGTATACTTTGGTGGTTGTTCGGTCGATTCGGAAGACATGCTAATTATAATTTAGCACATCAACGCGTTATCGAATTGATTTTTGAATTTTTTTTTTTGCGTTTTTATTGCTCAATTAATTCTGACCAGTGTTATGAACTTCCCGATATGGTAAAAAAATGCACAATAACTCCATAAAAATTACAGCACAAAAAAAAAACGCATCATAATCATTATGACGACTACACGTAAACGCGTACGCGTTAGTGCTTGAATCATGATTAATAGTTTCCTTGCGGACTTTTAATAATTTCTATATATTATACCTAATAGATAAATGGTTTCTAAATATTTTTTAAAGGTCGAGACAATAACGCTTATATATCTCATAAAGATACTTGAAAAGGAAGTTTCGAAGGTCTATCGATTCTGAAGGAGGAATCGGTTATGTATCTCCCTTCGTAACAAACATAGAAATGGATTCCTGGAAGTACACGTTCACGCTCATGCTTACGCTTTACATTTTTTGCATTATATAATTACTTTTCTCACACTTGCACTTTTTTTATTTTAATTTTAGATTCGCGAAAACGAAAGAAACCCTGCTGTCCTTTAACCCATTCAGTCTTGTAGGAGGAAATCTAACGGGAAAAAGTGGCAAAGATATTAAGGACTTTGTTGCAACGAAATTTTCACTCAAGTCTTACATGTTCTTAAGTCTCTTGATAACCCATATGGACATATCCACTTCAGAAGCAGGATCTTTTATAAAAGTAGGTTAAAGGACAAGAATATACATTTGCAGACCAGACGCCAATCAGTTTTCTTCCTTCGAAGTTTCTAGGAAGTGATACTTATACAGTGTATCCAGTGTTGGCCAACTGGACCAAATTAGACTAACTGGACTTATAAAACTAGACCATTGGACTTATAATTCCAGTAACTGGACTTATAGTTCTTACAGGTCCAGGATGAAGAAAATGAAACATTTCTGAACGGGTGGTAACTGTTGCTGAATCTGAGAGTGACATTGGTCATATTTCGTTTTACTGGAATGCAAAGACCCCATAGTGAGAAATTACTTCGTTTACAGCATAACTTCTAGCATGTTATATACCTTTTTTGCGGGAAGTTGGCTTGGGATAGTGTTATTAATCGGCGCGAATTCGTAATAGTTATCAGCCTCATAGTATAAAGAGGAGGGGCAAAGGGGTGGGTGATCGGCTTCGATTTAACAACACTAGCTTGGGATAAGTATACGTTAAAATTTTTGCGGGAAAGTTGGATGAACCTCTACATTCATAAAGCATTGGTTTGATTTTTCCAAATGCACGGGAGTTTACTGTCACTTTTATCTGTTGCGAAACAGGTAGCGTATTTTTAATTTTTTTATTCTAGATTTTGCTTGTAAAATATATTTTAGTGACAGGAACAAGCGAGCTCTCACAATAATCTTCCGTGAGTAATTCGCCATAGGATATTTGCGTGGTGACTTTGAGACATAACATCCATCCTCATATATGTCCTCTATAGTTGATAAACTTTAAAAATAAAATGATCTATGCAAGAAAACTCTGAAATAAAAAAATATAAAAAATATATCTAGAAAAAATGATAACGACAACTTTTATTCGCGGCTGATTCTCTTTTGATCTTATTTTATTTCTTGCTATGCGTATCGTTTGAAAATTTTATTTATTATATAATTTTCAAATGAAGTTTGTATAGTTTTTTCGATTAACAAAAATTTATCTACCAATAAAATTCTGTAACTCGAAAATCTAATCGGTTCAATTTTTTTTTTTTCGAATGGCTGCTACTATTCGAGGTGTATTGATAGATTTATCAGGCACATTACATGTTGGCAATAAGGTTGCGTGTTATTAATAATATAAAGCTTCTTTTTAAATTTTATTATAACAGCTATATTACTTATGACTTGTAGGCTTGCGAAGGAGCCATCGCTGGCTTAAAGAAACTTCGACAAGTTGATATACCTGTAAGTTATACCTTTTTCTCTCTCTCTCATTCACGTATTTATTTCTGACATATTCATTACTTATTAGATTCGATTCTGCACTAATACAACTAAAGAGAGTGTCATAAAACTAGAAAATCGATTGATGAATTTAGGATTTGAGGTTCACAGACGCGAGGTAATTTATAATTTTTCATAATTTGATGATTTCTTTATTTTATTAACTTTATACATTTTTGAGGAAAGATATTCACTTCATTAATTGCATGTCGTAATATAGTTTTATCTCGCGAATTAAGGTAAATGAATTCTATCTTTTATGTTTATCTTTTTTTTTTTTTTTTTTTTTTAGAAAATAACATTATTATATGTATAGACCATTATTGTTTCTTGAAGATGCAGCTCTTGAAGATTTTCAAGGAATCCCAACAGGAGAACCAAATGATGCCGTCGTTGTAGGCTTATCTCCATCAAATTTTCAATACGATATGGTTAATACATTTTTAAATTTTTAAATAATCGAATTCGTTTTCAAATTAGGCTAGCTAAACATACTTATCCTGTGAATTTTTTAAATCTTTCAGTTAAACAAGGCTTTTAGGATCCTAATTAGCAATAAAAATACAACTTTTATTGCTATTCACAAAGCAAAATATTTTGCTGAGCAAGGTAATATCTTTTTTTTTTTTTAAAAAAAAAAAAATCTTTAAAATCCTTTTTGACGATGACTAAATATTTAAATTTTTAGATGGATTAAGTTTAGGACCTGGTCCTTTTGTGGAATGCTTAGAATATGCGAGTGGAGTAAAGGCTACCGTTGTTGGCAAAGTAATTATTATTGATATTACTGAGTTTTTTTTTTTTTTATTGAAAATGTTTCGCTTTAATGATATTGTTTGTAAATATAGCCAGAGAAAAGTTTCTATGAATTGGCTCTCAAAGACATGGATTTATTGGACAAGTCGAATCAAGTAGTTATGGTTGGAGATGATGTTGCAAACGATTTAGGAGGTATGTATAAATAAAATGAAATTTTTATATTTTCTTCCTTTTATTAAATTCCTTTATAAGATGGTGCCAGGGAATTAGGCTTGATAAGATATCTTGGTAATATATTATTCTGTGGCTTTTGTAATTGATTTTTATAATTCAAGCATTAAGTAATTATCATTATTATTATGTATAATATCACAGTCAAGACTGGCAAATATAGGAATGGAGATGAATTGCGCGATGGAGGCGTAAATGGTCTCTTTGAGAATTTTGGAGAGGCGGCCGATTTCATCGTGGAACAATTCAAAAAATAGAGAATACGTATATAAACTATTTAACATTTAAATACTTTTTTGATATATAATATATCACGTGATTTAATGGAGCAAAGCAAATAAATTTATTATCTAACATGACATGATCAAGCATTTCGAAATCGCTTTACATGCGATAATTGAATTTGTCGATCTTAACCGTGCAGATCAATTCACATATATAAACTCGTTATAAATCATTAAAATTTGTCACAATTCAAAAATTTTTATTTCACAATTAAAATGAAAAGAACACTTCGTAGTTCGTTAAGAAGTAGCAACAAACAATTAAAAAAACAATCAGATACAACGATACCTCCACCACAATCTCCACCACAAACTCCAGAAACTGAAAATAGAAATTTTTTTGATACGTCAACAGCAGATACGACCTTAAATTCTGAAACTGATACGGTAACAGAAGAATATAATGAGTACGATGCAGAGAAAACCAATGAAACAAATAAACGAGCTAAATACATTGAAAAGAATTTAGCGAGAGTTAATGAACGAGGTAAAGTAAATAAAGAAAAAGACAAAGTGACCGTTTCAGAAAACATCAAAAGTGTCAAGAATAAAGATATAGTTAAAGGTAAATTCATTACTTATATTAAATTTCAATATGAATTAAAAAAAAAAAAAATTGTTTTTCAATGTAAATTAATCCTAAATGATAATATTTATCAGTAGGTGAATCACAATTATTACAAGGTATAATAGTTGAAACCGAGGATAAATCATTATCAATTTCTTTGGATACTGAAAGGAAATGCTTTAGTTTAACAGTAAAATCGAATGTACATCAAATTAAAATTTTACCAAAATTAAAGTCAAAGTTGGTTCGATTAATTATAACTCATCAAGGTAGATCAATAAAACCTCATACGAACTACAATCCTTATTTAATACATTTAAAAAATGGGTTAAACCATATTGAGATTTTGATGAAAGAATTAGAAACAAGCGCTGATGATCAAGATTTTGGAACCTTTAATGGAGATTGGAGATTTGAAGATAAGTATTCCCTTTTTATCACGAAATTTTGATGGGAACTTAAATAAGGGATTTCAAAATAATAATTATAATAATAATAGTAATATAGTAATAGTAATTTCCTTTGTTTTGGAGGGTAATTGTGGATTTAAATAACTTAATTAGGTTAATTTCATTTTATTACGTCACGCGTTTTTCAATACCTAAATCCTCGTTAAATGATAAATGTACTTGTAATCATCTTAACAAGATAATAAATGTCTTTCTTTCGATTCAAAAAAAAAAAAAAAAATATATATATATAGTTGTTGTTCCTGTGATTATGATCTATTCTACATAAATTAATATAATTTATCCAATCTAAAATTACAAAATAGCATGTTGCCCATATATTATCGAACGTATTTTAAAATAATCATCTGATAAAGAGCCTTCTAAAGTTAATTGTCCAGTTGGTGTCTACATTAGAATGTTGAAATATTAGTCGATTGATCACGTAAAAATTTAACCGCCGATAAAATTATGTTACCACTCACTTTTCTAACGGCTACTTTTTCGTTACAAACCAAGACACCTTCACCTTTAAATTCCGCAGTAATTCCTTCCGATTGCAGTACCCGTTTCAATTCTGTAAGCTTAATTTCACCTACGAATACAGGATTGTCACTGGCCGCATACTCTTCAATTGGCATTACATCAAGTATGGGAAATGACGAATCTGGGGGAAGATGTATTTTTCCAGATATGAATGAAATATCGTAATCTTCCAACTATTTAAAATTGGAAAATGAATTCATTTAGATTTATCCAACACTTGTGAAGATCACGTGAAACCATTATATCGTTACCTTTGAAAGCCTTAATGAGCTGACCAATGAATCAGTTAATTTAACTTGATAGAAATTTATGGCCTCAGAAACATTCAATGATTCACCGACATCGGGTGTATATATGTCACGTGTCATTGATTGAAGAGCCGAACAACTCGACTTAAAATCTTTAGTTGCTTCATATGATGCGTGGACAACTATCTGAATGATGATTATAAGAAATAAATTATGAAATCTTTTTTTAAATTATTAATAGATCATAAAATAATATGACATTACACCTACCAATTTTCTTGGTTGAACTTGAGGCACAATTGTTTTCAACGATCGGCCATCATTTGTGCCCTCTAAATCAATAAATCTTAATTGACATTGGAAGTGTATTTCTTCATCATAATATACATATTTCGTCGGTACATTTGAATCAACAGTCGATTGATCTGCTTTATCAGACTAATAAAGAAATCCCATTAAATAAATCATTTATAAACCTCAACAATAGAATTTGACCTTATCAACTCACATCATCATCGCTATCACCTTCCATTCTATCGCCATTCTCACCATCAATCATGAGTCCTAATCCTTCCATTCCTTTATTTTTAAATTGATCTGCTTGGATGATTTCACCGTACTCATCGTATCTTTTCCTCTTTTCGATATATGGAAACATTAAGTAACTTTGAGTTTGTTTAAAAAAACCTCCAAGTTTAGTTGCATCCCTAACATAAAGATCAAATTGTGTGGAAAGTAATTCTTCTATATCATTATCACCAAGTTCACTTTCTGATCCATCAGTTTCATCCTCCTCAATTATAGAACGTGATTTAGCGATAAGAGCCGCTTGTGCTGCTTCACGCTCTTGCTTTTTACGTTGATCACTTATATAATCTATAAGCTCTTGACCTTCTAACGGAACCTTTTTCCTTATCTAAAAGAGGATATACCGCACGTAAATATATTGGGATCATATAAACAACACAATTCAAAAATAATATTTAATAAAACAAAAAACCTCAAGAGACATAGGTAAATCCAACAAAACAGCAGGTTTCACGGGTCCGACATTGCTAGTATCTTCATCACTTCGTCTCTCCCATTCGTAATATAATTTTCTTGCCAAAGAATATGGTGGTCCTCGATCAGTTAATATTACAGCATTATCGGGTGATGTTCCCCATTCTAAAAATAGATCTCTAGCGTATCCTGTTTCTAAGCTAACATTACTTGCTATAACAACTTTAGGTCCCGGATATTTTGATAATTCTTTGTAACGCGTGCATAATCGAAGATATCTAGATTAGTGAATGAAGATAATAGTTAAAATTATGATGAATATTGGATATTTACGTTGAACTTTAATAATTTAATGACAACACATTCAAAAAAAACATTCAAAAAATTGGAAAATTGTAGATGATAATACATATATATCTTTATTAACAATTTAATTTTATATAATTTATATAATATATAATATTGTTTTTGGAATATTAGATTTTTTAAAAGAAAAACTAACCTAAATTCAAAAGGATTTTCTCTTTTGTTATCAAATTGTCTATTGATAGCATCACTCATCCATTCCAACATACTTTTTGCATACTTTATTGTATTATAACTTTGATGACTTAAGAATATCAGAGGATATGAAACTTGATGAAATGCCCAATGTTGATCTAACAAATATGCCAATTCTAAAACTCTTGCAGATGAATCTGTTGGTAATAACACTGATCCACTATCTTGTAAAGTTGTCATTATTGTTTCTAGATTATCGAATATCAAATTATTAAGAAGTGCGGAAATTAAAGCAGCAGCGAAATAATTACAAAAACCAAATATTCTGACAAATTCTTTTGTTACTTACCAAATAAAGCAGTATCACGATGTTTCCTTGCAGGATGAACTATAAGAGAATTGTACGCGTCTGTTATCATTAAAGTAGGTCGACTCAAAGCATCAAGAACTACACCATCTTTGTGTAAGACAGTACCATCAAGATGCCTTTCCTTCTTGTGATTATAATCAACAGCGTACACAATCTCCTCAGCATCCTTTTTTATCTTCCATATTGTACCACCTATTGTGTGTCCTGCTGCATACGCTGTAATCGTAATACCCTTGAATTTGACTATCAAAGATAAAAGTTAAACCTCATTGAAAGATTTTAAAACTAAACGTGATAATATATTTAAAACAAAAAAAAGTACCTCCTAACGATATGGGCTGAGAATATTTCAACGTATGAATTTGGTCAAATGCAGTATCAACAGTATTTAAATCAAAAGTATCGAATTCTGACTCATTTATTTTTGATTGAAAAACATCATACAAACACATTTTTCCCATATTTAAAACTGGCAATGTGGCATAAACTGGACATGAAAGACCAAAATGTCCGTAAGCATATGGATATGCTCCTAAATGCTGTAAATCAGGATGTGAAAGTAGAAGTACGTCCACTTGTTTCGCGACTCTAGTTTGACGATGAAATAATATTGACTTAGTGTGAACAGAATATTAAAAGAAAATTAAAAGGTTGACACTATTTAAAGAGTAAAACTTATAATAACCTTCTCAGATTTTTCAAGTCTTCGACATTAAATTCATCGTTCCAACCACAATCTAGCATTATTTGTACTTCGTCGTCTACTTCTACAACATAGCATAAAGGATCTTCGTTTTTCGCACCCGATATTACAGTAAAAACAATCATTTTATCCAGGGGAAACCTTTAAAAGTCAAAAAAATATCCTAATTATAAAGTGATTTTTTTTTTTTTTTTTAGAATAAAATAAAATTACGTGATGAATTAATTTTCAAACAACTAATCGTGTATTTATCCGCGCTTGTGACACAACGAAGTTTTGCCACTAAAATAGTAATCGCAAATGTCGGCCGAATTATTAATATTATTGATGAAATTTAGGATTGTTTGTTTTTGCTCAAATACCGCCGTATACGAACATTTTTCAAGGTATAAGTTTTTCGAATATTGAATGAAATAATGGAAAGTCAAAGTCAACCCATTACACTCATTTGTAACAACGAATTTTTATATATTGAAGAAAACTTTGAAACCAGAACCACAAACTTTTCTTTGTTTCATGTTTTCAATCTAAAAGGTCCCATAAACGGTATTTCTTTATCTGGTATTGTTATACCGACCTCACTTGATAAATTTTACGAATTTGAAGTGTCTGAATATGATGGCACTTCCTTTAAGGTAAAGTTATGTTGAATCATTGACTTACCTTGTATTAATAACCCTTCTGACCATCTTTTCTAAAATTTGTTTTATAGGTTAAAATTCTTTTCGTCAACCAAACCCATTTAGATTTTGTCAATTTGTTACGCGTTGCTGCAGAAGATTTGTATTTCGTTTCTGAAAATGGTTTCTCTGATTGGGTTCCTATCGATTCTATAACACTTCGATTGATTTATCCAAATGCAAATTCGGTAAACCTAATTGGAAATCTTACAGAAGAACAACAGATAGATGAGCATAACTTGATTGAAGAATCCATTTCACCTGATTATGGTGATGTTGAATGGCTTTCACGCAAACTGAAAGAGATGGCATTACTTTTTCAATCAAAATCTGATATGCCAGCTGATGTGTTGGAAGGTCTTTTTAGTTCCATGTTTCCGAGACGTGTTACAACTATGAACATTATTGAGGGAGTTGGAATTTTAATTTCTGCTATGGATCATAGATTGAAATATCGATTGATTCGAAATATCTTTAAGAAGTTGGCCTCTCTTATCAAAAATAATAATTTGAAATCGATGCTTCTTGAAAACCGATTTGTAAGTAAAATCTTTTCATTTACGATTGATTATTGGTTAAATATTGATCGGCATTTTTCATTTAATAGGTGCCAGATTTTCATTTCAATATTATTCTTAATCTTTGGACCCTTATTGAAAGTTTTAAGGTCATTAATAAAACATGTGAAGTGCTCAGGGATTCCGATGAGAAATTCAAAAATATTTTGGCAGTAGAAAGTTCAAACTTTAAAACATACCTTGAACACGTAGATATTTTGATTTTAAACATTTTAACTATTCTCGCTAATGAGCAATATGATTTACTTCAATGTAAGAATCAAATGATTTAATTATTGTTTTCTAGTTACCATACTAAAATTAATTATCTTGTAGCACGCTTATCAATTTTCATCAAAGCGATTGAAGATTTGATGAAACTCATCGAATTGATATCCGTCAAGTGTAATGAGCATTTAAAAGAAATAGAATCTGAAGAACAAGTCGCGAAAAGGAAAGCATTGCTACATCTTGGGTTAGTAACTTTAAAATCAATCAATCAATTTATTATTATTTATTATTATTTATCGATTAAAACCAAGTTATTTATTAAAGAATTGCGGCTGTTGAAGTAATCTATGGTTTCTCAATGTACAGATCACGTAGTACAGTTCAGGTATGTTAAAATAGGAAAAGGATGTATCTAATTTTATTTAGTTATTGATTTAACTAATCGTTTGTGTTTTATATTATTAAACAGAGAATTACTGAGGGTGCAATATTTGTAGCAAATGGATTTGCTTTTGGTAAATCGTTTGCTGCAAAACAACAATTTGTTGAGGCTATTAATCAACAAAGCAACACACTCAGGAGATTACATGAATTACATGCTACTTTCACTCAAATGTCCAATCAAGGAAAAAGACTCGTATTGGATTTAAGTGGCGAAGAGATGTCGTATCAACGTGAAACGTTGATCGAGGAATTCGTGGAATTTAGAATTCAATGCAAAAATTTTGCTTGTGTGTTGGATGAAGTTGATGAATAAATCACATTAGATAGTTTTGTATCTTGGATAAAAGATATAAACCAGCTTAAATAAAATTGATGAAAGATGACGCCTTTTTTATATAAGTGAGAATACTATTTACGAATTTATAATCCAAGTTCATTATACCAGCCAAAACAGATTTCTAATTACAGCTCATTTGCTTATCATTTTAAAGATATTTTATTATAACAGAAAATTTCATATAAAATATCACATCTAATAAATCATATAAATATTGAATCAAAAATTATTTTCAATTCATAATTAAACTGCATTGCTAATTAATATAACTTCATCATCTTTGACAATGTGAATTCACATTGCTTTAACTTAAATATTTTATAAGGTCATTTGAGGTCATTTGTCAATTCTACGTTGACAACATTTTAGTATTGGTTATTTTTAAACATTATCTTTTTGACATTCTTTACAAATATAGAGTTTGTTATGATTTATTACTTTCTAATATTGATTAAGAAGTTCAAAATAAGGCCACCAACGATAGTTATTAATATTTCGTTTTTGAATAGAGGTCATTTACCAATTATTATGCACATGACCATTATCAAAGCTTAATGTGATAAATTGAAAAAAGATTGTGACAAAATTGAGAGCGATGCAGATAAATTTTTTTTTTGTTGATTATCTAAACCGATCCTAACTTTCCTTGATAATGGCAACATTAAAATTTAATATTTTACGTTTACGTTCAATAATAAATTACCTTTTTTCAGATTCCACAAAATATATAAGTAGTAACGTAAATAAAAAAAATCCAATAAACCTTTTTTGTAATGATTTAACTTTGTCTAATGAGGAACTATATCTCTATAAGGGCTTTTCTCTAAATTCTTTTCCTCCAAAATTTGCAAGTAGGATTTAAAAATAAACCTTTTTTTTTGCAAATGATTTTTCATTTAGTATTTATTAATATTCGTCATATCAATTCGAATTTACAGAAACTGTACCGATATTTAATTCAACTTTCCGACTAAATCAAAAGGTAAAAAAAAAGGTATTAATTTGTTCATTTAACATAATTGTTGACAATTTTTTTTTTTTTTAAAAATAATTATTAGCGGTCTTTTCACGCAACAGGTATTCACTTCAATCGAATTTTGTAAATCTTATCTTAATAAATTTCTCATTGCTTTTTATCGTATTAATTGATTGTAGCTATTTTAAGACAACGTAAAGATTATTATGAACTTTTGGGTGTAGACAAGAAAGCTTCCCAAGCCGAGATCAAAAAGGCATATTATGGTGTATGTAAAATAATTTTTATAATTTGGTATTTAAAGGAGTCAATGATTTATTATAATAATTCATTATAGCTTGCGAAAAAGTATCACCCGGATACAAATAAAGATCCTACGGCGAAAGAAAAATTTGTACAAATTCAGGAAGCATATGATGTAAATTATAGTTTTTTTCTTTGACATCTAAAAACATATCTTTTATTTGACACGCATTATGATTATTAATTTATGTTAGATATTATGCGATGAAGAAAAGCGAGCACAATATGATCAATTTGGATCATCATTTGCAGGTTTGTTATTCTTAAAAACTATAGAAAATAGAAAATTAAAAATAATTTGTTAAATCATGATGTTTTTATATTTAGAGGGTGGACCAACTGGAGCAGGTGGATTCCCTAGCGGAGCGAACTTTGAGGGTTTTGGTGGGTTTGGTTTCAATGGCCACAACGATCTTTTCAATCAATTTTTTGGAGGGGCAAGAGGATTTGGCCCAGGAGGAAGACAATCCGCCGAGTTTGGACAACCATTCGTGACCGGATCGGATATAGAAATAGGATTAAGCTTATCATTTATGGAAGCAGTAAAGGGAGTAACGAAAAGTATTATGGTAGAATCGATCGCAAAATGTAAATCATGCAAAGGATTGGGAACCAAAGGAAACAAAAAACCGGATACATGTAAAGCATGCAAAGGCAGCGGAGTAATATTTTTGCAAGTGGGTTCAGGATTTCACATGCAAAGTGTGTGTTCTGAATGTGGTGGCAAAGGTACTAGAATATCTGTGGCAAATCAATGTCAAACATGCGGTGGTAAAGGACAAGTGAAAGAAAGAAGGACTGTTTCAGTCCCCGTTCCTGCAGGTAAATGAAACTTTTGCAGAGATTTAGTGATTTTGATTTATATATTTAATTTTGCAAATTCTAACGTACCTTACAGGGGCGGAAGATGGAATGAGGCTTCGTATACCGAAACAAGGAGATATGCCTCTTGGCAGTGAAGGAACACCAGGAGACTTATATGTTAGATTACAAGTTTCACCACATAAAACATTTAAACGACTAGGACCACATATTCATGTTGATGCAACAGTTCCATTTTATACAGCTATGTTGGGTGGATATATCCATGTACCTACAATAGACGGAGAGGTTGAACTTAAAATTCCGTCAGGTACTCAACCTGAACAACAAGCTCTTTTGAAAAAGCGTGGTGTGACAAGTATAGATAGTCATTATCGTGGTGATCAGATCGTTACTTTTAAAGTCACTTTACCAAAGTAAGAAATAAAATTCCGAAGAATTTTATTTACTTTAATTTTCACATATTAACAACTTTTTTCCTTCGTTTTTCATAGGACACTTGACCCTAAACAACGCGAATTAATTGAACAATTTGTATCTGTAACCGAGGGAACACGACCAAATGAAGCTAAAGAAGGTGGTGATGGATTCTTCAAGAGCACATTTGGTAAGATAAAGGATAAGTTACATCATCATGAAGATACAAATAACAATAAAAAATAAGGACCAGAATAAAATAAAAAATAAAAAGTTTTATTTTAATTATAAAAAAAAAAAATTCATGGATAAAGCACCATTGGATTTTTTTTTCCGTTTTTTTTTTTTTTAATATTGTTCCTACTTTAAGATCTATTTCTTTTTACTTTTCCCCTTTGAATCTTTTCCTTTTCTCTTTTCAGATTCTTCCATTTTTAGTAGTTCTTCCTCGGCTTTCTTTCTTTCTTTTTCTAACCTAGCCTTTTCTCTTTTTTCATGCTCAGCCATTTCAAATTTTTCTCTTTCCTCCCTCTT